TATTGTTGTGCGTTCTGGTTCGTATGGTTTAATGGAATTGATCTAAGAATTTTTGCATAATATATAGATATAGTTGGCTCTATATTTACTAGTCCAGTCAGTCATTCGTTTACTTAATTAATCTGTTTATCTGTTGATTTATCTTTTTAATTTTTCACTATAATTATACACTATAATTTATAAAACAAATTTATTTCTAATAGCTTAATTCATATTAAAGAATATACAATATCAATTTGTAGGGCTTTGAATCAAATTTTTTTGTGTTTCCTTATCCTCGAGCACCCAACATATAGTTAGTTGTCCATGACTAAAACAGATTTTCCAAATTGATGCCGCAAAATTTGATGGTTGGTTTGTACTTCAACTTTTTTTATAAGGTAATAATTGTATTGAAAATTCTATCTTTTAAATTGTATAACGGTAACGGTATAACATACAAAATCATTTATTACATTTTCTTGATATTTCATACAAATAATTTGAATATTTTTTTGAAGTTTACTATAATTAACAATACGATTCTATCATCTATATTCATTGTCAAACGATTTGTGGTTCAAAATTAAATTCTTCCTTTGTAGGATATGACTTAAGAATTTTTGCAGATATAGATATTGTTGGTTCTATATTTATTAGGTTACTGATTTATTCATTTATCAACTTATCTAATCATCTGGTAACTCGATATATAGTTCACTTGTTTGATTATTTATTCATTTACTTTAATTGATTACCTGCTTCTCTATCAATTTGCTCATTAAAATATTTATATATTTTGTTTATTGACTTCAAATTTGGTCATCCATAAATTTTATATTATTTATTCGTTTATTTAGTTATACATTTGACTGTTTATTTATTTATAAATACATTTTAATTGTTTGCCAAACTTAGATTATTAAATTAATTTTTATAATAGTGCAATATATAAATATTCTAATATTATAATTTTTTCTATAAACAATTTTACAATTTTTACCTATTGAAAATAAACTGTTTACTATTTTTCTAATACGTATTGCATAAAAATAAGTACACTACAAAGCGATACAAATGTTTCATAAAAACTATATTATTGTTGTCTAAATTTTTTAAGATATCTATGTTAAAAAGTTTTTATTATAGAAAATAATGCATATTATAAGAAATGAGTCAAATATGTGACAACTGCTTATTTTATATTATATTTTTTTTCCAATGTGCTTACTACTTAATTGTAATTAGTAGCACTTTCAATTATTTTTATTTGTATCAGAAATGTTATTTTATCAAAAATTTTAGAGAACTTTCAGTTTCGAACATACGTTGGATTTTATAAATCTAATAATATATATTATTTTCAGTCAAATCGTGAATTTTTACTAATCAAATTTATTAAATAATAACTTTATCACTACTTTTTTCAAATTGCTAATATTTCGCTTAACATTTTTTGTTCCAAAAATTATTTTTAATTATATTATTAAAGTAATTTGCAGTTTTTTATCATCAGCTTCTAATGAACAAAGATTCATTTTGTAAATACTCGACTTCAAAAAAAATTTATCGTCAACTCTTTGATTACATATATATATATATATATATATATATATATATACAATTTTAAGTTGACGTTTTACACTTAATTTTTTACATTTTATTATTTGAAATATGCTCGTAGTAGTTATTGGGTAAAATTGTGCCAAAGATTAATTGGACACGCCAAATATTGTCTGTAGGCTTCGATCTTATCCATTTTGGGAATTATTTTTGCATCCGATTTTTTAACCACTAATCAAATGAATGAATGAATAAATACATTTTTTTCTGGTTTATATTTCTATTCTTTTTACTGCAGAAATAGGCCCTACATAGCGATACATTGCAATTTTTCTTATTATTATTCAAGGTTGCCAAAAACTTGGTTTGAGCGTTTCGGGATCAAGAACTATGTCTGCATTTTGAAAAACTATGTTAATGAATTCGTTTTCTTTTAGTTTAATGACATTATCAGGGTATATTGAAATTGGTATTTTATATCATTAGATGTAGTTAATATTAATATATTGGTTTAGACGTAACTAACATTGGCACATAGACAAGTTAATTAACTTGCTTAATTTCTTTTACATTTTTCTTGAACAATTCTCATTATTTTACCTATCTAGATAAAATAAAAAATATTCACGAATTTCAAAACATAAATTAAACGAAAAAAATTTAAAAATGAAGATTTTTTATCGTTTCTTCAATAACTTTTTTTGTCCATATAACAAATACCTTTTTACTATTATATGTCTCTATTCCATCTAATTTTCAAAATAACACAAAAATTTTAATTGCAAAATATTATATTCAATTTTTTTAACAGGTGAAAATCTGACTTTATAAATTTATCCAGCTAGGACTTTAATTCTGAAATTGCCGAAGGCTAGTTTATAGGTTTTCCTGCTCAGAAATTATCATGTATTTATTGATATATTTGAATTTTTTATAAACTAGTGTTTTTTTTAACTCAATTTGAGATTGAACTTCAAATTAATATATTGGCGGACCATAAACACTGATATTTGTATTTTTTTCAGTTTGTACACTGTGATTAATGATTGAATGATTGATTTCTATTTTTTTTTTAATTGCTGGATTACAACATATGCACAATACTAATGCCAGTATTTTTTTTATTTATAAATTAAAACATTGGATCCTGAACATGCTTTTATTGTAGTATTTTTTTTATTTTATTCAGTTTTCATGACATTAAATATGAACGTATAGCAATTTATATGATTCTAATTTGTCTTTCTATGTCTTGGTATTACAACCTACTGGATTGTGATTAAAAACAAAATAAATCAATAGTTTTTAAAACTAATTCCTATTTCAATAATTGATTTTTGTGTATTTTGGTTCAGTAGAGATCATATCAGGATGTAGTTAAGCTGGGCGTATACTATACCAAGACTCATAGCCTTATTAATGCCATCGAAATATGTGAATATATAAAACATTTTAAGAAGTCATTTGTAATTTTAATATTTTAATATTGATTATAATATTTTTTAATAACTAGTTTCCAGGCAGCAGTAACATGAATAAAAATGAATTTTTCCAATTTTTTCTGCGAAGGATTATTTTTGTCCTTGTGACTTTTTGAAATTAACTATACCGTGATAATCCTATCAGCGAAATCACAATATACAACGTGTAACGATAAGAGATTTATTTTTAAAAAGAATTTATTTCCAATAGCTCAATTTATTTTAATATTTTAGTAGAGGGAATTTACATTATTTTTAGTCATAATGTGGGTATTAAAATAAGTGTTTTTTTGGTTTTCTAACCTTCAAACACGCAACATATAAATTGTCCACGACTAACGCAAAGATTTTCCAAATTTCTGCCGCAAACATTTGTGGTTTCCCCATATGATTTATTTATCGGCTTTCATACGGTTGGTCATGGTAATCTTATCATGAATCCTAACTTTTTGAATTGCATAACGGATTCAGAAGGGATTAATGGTATCCGTTGTAAAAAAAAAAACACAACTCTAATATTTTCCACCAAACTTGCATCAATAATGCTGGACGTAATTTTATTATTAACTAATGTCGTACCATTATATAATTTTGAGGCAGACAGTATGTTATATCAATATAATTTTACATTTATTTTTAAATTTTCGAACTATAACCAAATACTTTTTTCACAGATCCGTGTCTAAATTTTGACCTCTGATTTTAAGAGATGTAACTCTTTTTGAATTAATTTTTGTATTTTGAAATAGTAATAATAAAATTCAATCGCCGTTGGTAAAGTTTCTGAAGTTGTTGTTAAAATCCTTTGGGTTTGAGCATAAATCTTCTTGTAGTAGTCGCTATTTTGAAATAAATAATCAAATATTAAATAGTAGAACAAATGTTTCAAATAATCATAAAATAGTGATAATTTTTTTCTTTGTTATTTGTTGGTAAACTTATTACTTCATGTGAATAATAGATTTTTTAGAAACAAATATTTACGTATTTTTTATTAAGTTATTTTGTCAATTTATTGTGTATTCATTACTCGTTTATTTTTCATTTATTTGATTATACTTTTTATCAGGATAATAAATAATGATAAGCAAACAGCAGCCCTTATTTAATTAATTATTTATTTATTCATTTATTTTTATATTTGATATTTTATTTATTTAGTTGTTTATCTTTCTAATAAACCAGTTATAAACATTTATCTATTTAATTCTGAATCAATTTATATATGTACTAATTTATTTAAATATTTAAATAATAATTGTCTATATATTTGCTGATATGTATATTTCAAAATTTTGGCTTATTATGGAATCAATGTCTAATAGTTTTTGCTATTTAAATTATATAATTAATTTTTGTTGTTACATCAAATATTTTCATTAATACTATTTCATTGTTTTATCTATATGTAGCATATTTAACTTAATATTTATTTTATTGATTTTATTAATTAATTCCTTTTTTAATTTAATTTAATTTTAATAATGAATAAAAATAACTACTTTTAACGTTATGGTTTGAAATTTCCTTGTTCCTTAAATATTTATTTATTCAACTATATAATAAAACAATTAATTATATATTTATTTAATTAATAACCAATTTATATAATTATTTTAATTATAATTAATTATATAAATGTTTCCATATATTCATCTGATGATATAGGTGTTTCGAATTAAATGTCTAATTAGTTACTACTACTATAATAATATTTCATATTTGTTAAATAAATTATCTATTCTATATTTAACATAAATATTTATATATTTACGTTTTTAATCTAGTAATGATATTATAATATACTATTCATGTTCTCATTTATTATTTATTTATTTGTGAATCTATTAATGATCATATCAATGAACAAAATAATACAAGCATTTGAAATATGATTTTATCTCAAGTATACAGTCTAGTATACACTAGTATACAGTTATTACTATTATAAGTAATCCTCTTGTTGATTATTTTCAGGATTTTCAGTTCCTCATTTGAGATTCAAAATATAAGGAATTTTGGAGTTCCCTGAACCGATGTCAATTCTGCAGAATATGGTGAGTTTTGCTTTCTATTCATGGGTAAAAGAGGTTTTTATCTGTTTTCAAAACCGTTTCTGAAACCGATCTTGGAAACAATTTATGGGATTTGAAAACCCTTTTTTCACTAATTTTTAAAAATAGTTACGCCATTATACGTAAAGATTATGCATATACAACAAATATTTAAATGTTACTATTAAAATCATTATTTTTCATACTACTCAATTCCTTAAAAAGATATCAATAAAATTGATCTGTGAATAACTTCAGTCAAAAACTGCTTTTACTCTCTAAATTTTCTGTAAATTTTTTTTTATCGAATCATCCCAGCAAATTGTATTTTGTAGATCTAACCCGTTGAAACTGTTTCTGAAAAAGTAATAACAAAAATCTGGTTTTTATATACCCTACTGTAATTGCACGTGGCGAGATTTCACCTTGTTTTGCAAAAACTTTTAGACTTCTATACTAATGAACATCAATGAGTTTGATCAGTTGATGACAAAAGACTTCTGAAATATACTACTATACTATAAAAGAGTTTAAAAATATACTATGGTGACTAAAGAGCCGAAATCATATTTTGTTAGCCATTTAACGTTGCTGCATACAACTCATTTTTTGGTTTGACTTATCAGAATTTGGAATCGCCGACAGTGGTTTCTCTCTGTGACAACTTAGAAATTCCATGCATCCCAGGAATAACCTGTCGAATTTGATAAATTCAACCTCTATCCAATCTAGTCCCATTAACTAAATACTTTTATCGCCTTTATCAACTTCAACATATTTTTGCAAATGTGGAGCAGCATCTTCGACATCAAAATTGCCATATCAAATTTTAGAGAACCATTGTCTTACTACTAATGCATCTCCATAAACTTCTCTATAGTTAAAGGAGTATTTTTTTACTCATTTTGTTGTAAAATAGCCCAGAAAAATTAGTGTTATGCGACGCAAAATTCATTAGTTTATATAGCAAGACTTGTGTATTAAAAAATCTATCAAATCATACCATACTACATACTTAGTGTGTAAAATTCAAATGATATCCAGATCCTGGATAATAACGAAGTTGTTATTAGAACATCCAATTATGAAGTAACTAAATTTCGAAAATCTTTACTATATTTGATATATCAAATCTTTACGAGAATAATTTTTGGACAAACATCTACAATTCCAATTGCAATGCAAAATTTATTTAGTATTTTGATGAACTCTTATTACTATTAGTGTGCAATAGTTACATTTTTTTATTTGCTTTGCCGATCAAAACAAAATAATTTTTTAAGACAATATGCTGAGTGTAAAAGAGATTTTCTTCTATGAGATACCTCCTATTGTATTTTTTGACGATTTCATTTAAAATCGTATGGCCATTTTTTTTCAATGTTCGAGTAAGAGATTCCTCGATACGTTACATCTGAAACCATATAAATACTTACTATTTTTATTAACAAATTTACTGATTATTTAATTTCACTTCTCTAATCTAAAGTTTTTTTACTTGTGTACTTACCCACTAATTTATTCAATTGTATATGTGGATTTGTTACCGATCAAATTTTATTTAGGATTAATTTCTTTATTCCTTTTAGAATTTTCGTTTAAATATCTAAAATTTTGAATATCCTAAAACACATTACTATTAGCAAACAGAATAAAAACAATTTTGTGTATGATTAATTATTTATTAAAATAGTATGTAATTTGAAACTTACTACAAAATAATTTTTACTTATTCATTTTTTCATTTTATTCTTATTTGAGAAGATAGAACTCTCAATTTTATTTCAAATTTTGTCATTTTAATATAAGAAGTTTCTCCGAAACTGAGCTTTTTTTACTATTTAACAGATGGTATACTTGTTGCATCAAAATTGGAATTGATTATTTTCTATTTGTTCTTGATAGTTTTCTGTTTAATAAACGCATATATTAACTAAAAAAATGATTCAATTAATGAAAACAATTTTGTGTATGATTAATTATTTATTAAAGTAGTATACCATTTGTAATTTACTGCAAAATAATTTTTTACTATTACATTTTTTCATTTTGATTCTTGTTTGAGAAGGTAGAACTCTCAATTTTATTTTAAATTTTGTCATTTTAATATATAAGATAGATAGCTTTTCCGAAAATAAGCTTTTTTTAACTATTTATCAGATGGTATTCTTGTTGCATCAAAATTGGAATTGATGAATTTCTATTTGTTCTTGATAGTTTTCTGTAATGAACGCAAATATTAACTAAAAGAAATGATTTAATTATTAGGACTACAATGTATTTGCTAAATTTGTTCGTGCAATTTTAAATACACCATTCCATTTTATATTTTTACTTTATTTAATTTTTAATAATTTCTCACTTGTTTTGTATTGAATTTTTTTCAATTTTCATTATCAATTTTTTCATAAGGTTTTTAATGTATTTAACAAATCTAAAAAATTGCAATGAATGGTTAAATTGATAACACATTGGATCGATATTTCTGATAAGAATCTTTCTTGAATTTGGTTTTTTATCTAATAATTTTATTTATACACAGAAAATTTCTTGAAGTCAAGATATTTTATAACATTTTTTAAAATGATAAACAGACACAAAAAATAGTATAATCTCTTTGCATCTAGATCGCAATGAACAAGCAAATTCACTACAATAAAATAAAACGTGTTACCGATTTTTTTCTAATGGTTTTGTCGAATAAAAAGCGCAAAAATGTGTCCAAACATGAATAGACGATAGTGACGTCACTGAGTGAAAGAGCGTTGCCGAGAATCGTCGAATACTCTCTCCATTGCTTAAATATCGTAAGTTATTTTCTACTTTAAGTTTGAAACGCCGTCGTATTTTATTGAAAAAGCTGCCAAGTATATTTCATATTTAATACTTTTTAACAGGAAAAGTGTATGAGGACTATCAGTCCATATATGTTATAAGATCTATCGTTGTGAAGAAACAAAATGATATTTTCGAATTTGTAAAACAATTAGAGATTTAAATACAATCTTGTACTTTTCAAATAATTTTATTTTTCATAAGAACTTTTCTAACCCAACAATATCAATTTTCTGAAACCATATAAATACTAACTGAAACAATTTTTTCATTCTATACACTTCGACGGCATCACATGTTGTTTTACATTTCGATTCGAAATTAGATTTATTACTTTGCTCTTACCGAGTTTTCAGTAATCTTATTAGTGTAAAGAATAATTTATGTATGGAATTCATAAATTATTAAACTAATTTATAAATGTAGGTTAAAAATATAACGTACACATACTACTTGAAAATTAAATGTTGAAAATAAAATATATGCTGAAAGAATTGTATTTCGTAATAATAGAAAAATGGATGTATTTTAAAGAATTAGCTAAAAAATAAATATTCTATTTTTTATGATATCAAGAAAAAGGATTATTGTGTAAAATGAAATATGCAACAGTATATTGGATTTTATTTTTTTTAATCATACATTTTAAGAAATAGAGCAATATGTAATTAATTGATTTATTAAAAATTTTATGCTATTTTGCGAATTTGGTTGAATTATCTCACTATTAAAAATAAGAATAAAATATTTTACTAAAATTCAAAAGAGTTTAATATTAATTCAAAAAATAATAACTAAATTTAATACCAAAATATTTAAATTTAATCTAATAAATTATCATAAATAATTTAATTTGATAAAAAAAAAACTTTACCAGAAATTACCATTTAATTTTTTATTAAAAAAGAACATTTTTTCACATAATTACCTACTATCTCTAATTGATATTATTTTATACAATTTAATTGTTGTCTATCTTAAATCATACAACAAAACCAGGAATATTTTATTTCTGTAAATTATTAGAATAAAATATATTGGTGATTTATACATATTTCAACATCTACACAAGTGCTTGTATAAAAATTTTGGGAACATTTTTCTAATTTTTTTTTTGATTAAATAGGAATTTTATTTCATTCAGGAGAATTGAATACAAATTTTAATTAGCAATGGAACGAAGCCGAGATTTTTTTAAATATTTAAAAAATTAAATTTTTACTGTATTCATGCTTTTCGATTTATAATGTTTATTTTTCAATCAGCTTTCTCATCTTCTGAACATAATTTTGCATTTTAAGAAACTTTATTTTTATTTTGGGTATAAATAAGTACTTTTTAACGGAAGGAATATAAATTTATTCACTATAAGAATAGTTTTTATTTTCATTTTTTGAGGTAGTTTTTTTTATAACATTGTTATTAAAAGGACTTCTTTGAAATGAAGTTGCTCAAATAAAATGAAAAACTAAAAATTTTTGTATCACTGTATTAGTATACGTCTGACGACAAAAATTCAAATTTTGGAGTAATTCGTGTTGTTTTTCTTTATTGGGGCTGAATACCTGTATCTTTTTTTAACCAAACCTCCTACTATATTAATATGGATCTAATAGGCCTCCATACACTTCTAATATTTTCGGGTTTTTCTTAAGGAAGCACGAATTTTAATATATGGTTTTAATTTTATTTATTTTGTAAAAATTATTATATTGATTTTTATAATATTAACACGTTTTGCACGACAAATTTTCATATGAAACATTGTATTTATTCAAAAAGGCTTAAAACTATTTTTTTAAATTTTTGGATTAGAGGTATTAATATGGCACTAAGTATTTATTTTGTAGCAAAGTAAAGTGTTTGTGAAAATGAAACAACTGTTGAATATTAGTATTGTTTGGTCCTTCTTAATTTCTTATAGAACTATAGAAACGGTGGAATTTATCTGAATTATTTATCCGGAGATATGTACGATATTTATAATTTCAGTACAAATTTTGTTTTGAGGAAGAGAGCAACGAATAATTATATTTTTGCGCAAAAACGAAAACATTTTCATATAACAAATAATTTTTAATAAAAAAGGTATTTATGGACAAAATTAAATGATATAAGCATAAAAAAGTTACAAATGTTGTGCACATACACTTACCCACACATATTAT